ATTCAGAAAGAATAAACCAGTTTTATTAAGTAAGGACTTGTGTCGCTAAAGTTTCGTCGGAACGAAGTTACGGAAAATTAATTAACAAACGAAGACGTAACAATATATATATAAGTATATCCCTCACATACACATACATTCTTACCCACACGGAGGCTAAACGATAAGCTTGAGAGAGCTTATGTAGGGTTTTGATATCCGTCATGAACACGATGTTGATAGGTCATTGTATAATTTTTCGCTTAAAAACAAACAGTAATATAATTGTTTATTTGGTCCTTTATATTGCTTTGGATGTATTACTTATGATTTTGCCATGCTTGTAGTGCTGTATTTTAATATTTACGTATTTCTTACAAAGTTTTAGTCTTTGTATATTTATTTTGTATTTGTATGATCTATGCCTTATTTTTAAGTGCCCCTCCCCAATGGTTCGGTGGTAAGTCTGAAGGCTTATAGCTCTAAAACCCAGGTTTCGATTCCCGTGGTAGGCACAGCATAGATTGTCCATTGTGTAGCTTTGAGCTTAACAACAAACAAACAATCTTTTAAGTCGTGTAGTTGTACATATATGTATTTTCCGTAAAATAGCTTGGTTAGAGCTAATTATTTATGATTGTAATATGAAAATGGACGTAATATCAAGTTTCTTGTATTCCCATCCCCACTCAGTGGTTATATATTTAATATAATATGCAGTGCATTATTGTATTAAATTGAAATATGAAATACTTTGCAAACATACTACATCTGTCTTTGAACGTAAAATATTTATTTGTATATTTGATCATTTTTATGAGCTTTAAACCCTTAAGGATAGAATTATTATTATAATATGATTTTAATATTATGTTTTATTCATTTCCAGAGTAATGCCTAAAATACATATTTTTGGCCAATGCCTCATAGTCTCGGTTTCACTGACATGGTTAACCAATGAACGCTTAGTATCGAATGCGCTAGCCATGACACTAGTCTTCTGTTTGTAAACATATACACGTTGGAAAGATATTGCTCAATATCCATCATGCTGAAGACTACGTTAATATAGCTTATAAGACCTTCAAAATGCAGTCGAGAGAAGAACTTCTTTTGAATCATGAAAAGAAAAGAAAGGCAAGTTTCATATTGATGTGTAATTTTGTAAGTTTCCTGTCAAAACATTTCATTGTAGATATGTGGTTGAATTATGTTTCCTGTCAAAAAAAATATCTACTCTATTCACGAGATAGGCCTACCATGACAAGTATATTACGACAAAATGTATACTTTAATTATAGTATTTGTCTTATTTCTTAGTGGAAACTGTTTCAATTTGAAAATGTCCTCTTTGTGTGTGTGTGTGTGTATATATATATATATGTGTGTATGCTGTAGTGAAATGCCATTCACGTGTAACTTGCAGGTAATCGTCTTGATAAGCTTAAGTTAAGCCATTACTAGCGCGTATGATACAGAGCTATATTAAGTCAGACGAGTAGCAACTGCTCGGAACGTCCTTAGATAAAATAAACGAGTTTCTATTCCGACGTTTTTATTATTATTATTATTATTGTATAAATTATAGGTCTATGAAGAACCACGATTAATAATAGATCGTATTTTAAGTATGTATTACTATTAGGGTCAAGCAACTGTATGAGGTTCTATAACTTTATATTGAAGTTATCTGTTTATTCATTTATCCACGCTAACACAAAATAACATAAGTTATATAGCATGTTTTTTTCCAAACCTTATTATCTGTTCCTCCTTGACCTATTTTGAAATTGAATACACAGGCAATAAACAGATGATTACAAGATTGCGTAATAACAAACCTAATGGCAATACCTAATCTCATTTTGACCTTTACATACCTCAAGGTCATATTTAAAAATAAAGTTAAAAAGCTAGTATTCAAAGAAGTTTTTCCAGAAAAATATTTTAATTGGTATAGAAAAGGAAAACTAATTTTACAAGCAACAATTGTAGAATTTTGTTATTTGTGAGTGTTTTCTTATTTTACGTCATCAACCTACTTGCGCCACCTGTAGTAAAAAATTAAAATATATCTATTTTTATGGTATATAAATTGTGCCACTTACCATTGTGATCTATTGGTATACAAAACACTTATCTGTAAGAAAAGTATATAATATATAAATTAATATCCCAATATATATATATATATATATATATATAGCATTAAAAATATTGCTGTAAACGTGTGGATAAGCTAGACATCAAAAAAGACGTTTTCAAATAATTATGTGAAATGGATATCTTTTGTCTTAAATTTGATTGGGAAGCAAACCAGTGATTTTCGTAATGGATAGTTATGCATTTTTCTTTATAATGTAGTTAGACTTTGTATTGATTAGCGAGATCATCTTTGAACAGGAACTTCTCACCTGATCATCTATGGGCTACTTCACTTGCGAAAAGTTATCCTTTACCACAAATCATGTTAATTGTCGCTATGAAACTGTAGCTAATAATTATTTAATTTATAAAGTTGTTTTCAACCAGTTTCAACATTTTATTTGATATCTTTTAAAGTTGATAACAAGTATAGATATTTTGTACACTCATACTTACATTTACAAGATCTTAGAAATTGCTAACATAACAATGTTTCAAAATAAAATTATGTTATCTTATATTCATATAGTTAGCCGAACTTTAAGACATTTTAACGTTAAGCTTACTGTATCTTACAGAAAGAATACTTAGATGATGTGTATCTGATTGTTTTCTACACTTGCACAAATATTTGCGGCATGAAAGTAACTACCCATACAGTAGCTCGTTGCAACAACCATCAAACACTTTGGCTAAACGTTTTAACGATATACTGCGCCACAATTCATGTACTAAGGTTGAGTGAACTATTTTATCACTCTGAATTGCAAGTTCAGACTTTACGTTGCTGGGTCTGAAATTCAAAAACAACAAATAGCAGGCAAGTGACATAAAGGCGCGGATTATGGACTTAATGAAGATTTAAATAACAGTATTCATTTATTATTCCAGATTTCAATCATATAAATTAGAGCATAAGGAAATTTATTACACTATTTTATTTTGACTTACTTTTAGTTTTGGAGACAAGGCTTCTTCAAGTTCACAGTCGTGAATAATGTAGCATTAACAGTACTTGTACTAATAGTAATACAATAGTAATAGTAATACTATGTTGATTTCAGCTTAGTAGGCAACGTTTCTTTAGGGGGAGGGGGTTATAGACTTTTTGCAAATTAAAATTGAATTAGGCCTAGACGTAAGATGATATTTATACTAGGCGTAGAGAGTAGTGCTAGTGTACAATACATATCTCAAATTAATATTAAATTCAGGCTTCATGAAAACTTATTTTTATAAAACAAGTTATACATATTAATAGGTGAACTATACTGTTTTGTTTGTTTAACCCTGGTTTAAATCTATCAATTAATATACTTTCCTTTATTCTTAATTCCTGTTAATTATTATTAGTAGTAGTAATATTAGCATTAGCTATGGCCAAGATTTTACAATTTTCACTATTTATGGGTTCCTTAGAACTCTGTAATATGTCTCTTAATATTTGAATATGATGTGTATCTCAAATTTGCTTGCTTTTGTATATGTGTTTTTAATGCCTTAGTAGTAAAACCTATATAACCCAAATTACATTTAAGACACTTATGATGTTATAGTGATATACCACATTTGATGTTTGATAAATACATAACCCATCGTTATTATATCTAAAACAAATATTGTAATGTACACTGAGTGTTCACAAGTAAATAGACACCTAATTTTTCGTCATTTAACTGATTTATGCTAACTAATTTGTGTTCACAGAGCACTGTATAAATGAAAGTGGTCCGCACACTAATTATCTTGTGCTACAACATGCCTAGAACTCAAGGTTCTCTTGAATTGTCAGATTTTGTTAGAGAAAGGATAGTTGGTAAAGCAGATGGGGGAATAAGTCAGCGGCAAATTTTGCAGAATTTGGGAATCCCGCTTTCAACAGTCAACAGAATCATCGTACAGTTCAGGAAACACGGCAAGGAAACAACTGAGCAGCGTCCGGGTTGTCTTGGTCCATCAGAAAGGACAAAAAGGGCTGTCAAGAGGAGCATCGAAATGGATCCCAGATTAATGACTGCAGAAGAGACCAAAGTTGTTGGGATGAGCCTGAAATCTGTTCAACGGATTCTCCACAGATTGGGTTATTGTTGCAGAGCAGCTAGACGGAAGCCCTTATTAAGACCTGCCAACATAGTCAGACGAAAGAAGTGAGCAAGTGATATGATGACCAAGCTTCTGGACTTTTGGAAGACCATATTGTTCTCACACGAATCAAGATTTGCTCAATTTTCAGACAGTAGAAGGATATGGATCTGGAGAATGCCTCACCAAGAGTTTTGGCTCAACAGATTGCAGCCAACTGTGAAGCATGGTGGTTTCAGCATGATGGTTTGGGGAGCTGTTTGGGTTGGTGGGAGATCGAGCTTAGTGGAGTGTGTTGGCAACATAAATATTGCAAAATACATCGAAATATTGGAAGAAGGACTCTTGCCACTTTATTCCTCGGGTTTCATGGACAAGAACACAACATTGTTCCAGGAAGATGGAGCACCGTGTCACCCAAAAGTGGCAGGAAGAAAATGGTATCCAGAAGTTGCCCTGACCGAGCCAATCTAATTTCTATTACTTGTTTTCCAGTATATGAAATATAAAAGTAATTTTTTGGTTTTCTACTTCCTATGTGGAAGGTGCAGGAAGGATGCTATTATATATATGATGAGGGATAACTTGATTTATAATAGTTTTCAGAGGAAACCCAAAATTCGAGCGCTTTTGAATAGTTCACTATTCTTCTTCAGGAGAATAAAGGGTTATGTTTAATAAATGTAATGGAATATATAGGCTTAGATGTCGATGTTGCGTAAACTGAATGTTCAGTATGAGTTAGCCTTGAGAACTAGCCAATCATAACCTACAGTTGTTGGTGTCAGATTTAGTTTGTGCCAAAGAAGTGTGTACATTAGATAAAAGAGACTTAAGTATGACATTAGTTATAAGAAATGTTAATATATTTTTATAAAGATAAAAATAAAAACAAAATATGGTGGGAAACAGAGGAAATGATAATATGACAATATATAGGAAATAATACCAGTATTGAGAAATTAAAGCATGAATAATATGTTTTAATAACCACAAGTCAACAATCAAAACAGAGAACTTCCACTTGCAAAACATTTTAACATGCCTAGACTCTATTAAACTGATGGGTATAGAGACAAATTTTACATCTAACAGAAGCTTACTGGATAGTATTATTAATTACTATTAAAAAAAAAATGGCATCAGTCTCGAACCTGGAATTGTTGTCCATCATATGTCCCAAAAGATTTTCAAAACTAAATTCATAATTTCTCTTACTCTCCGTTTAAAAGCACTTAAGTTTTGGGTCTCGTTTGAAAGTCATCACAACTTTTGTATATGATCCTGTGTGCTAACTTCGTGATCAGAATTGATTTATAATATCTGTTGGAAAAGCATTTTTGATAAGAATTTTTAATGTTCTCTATTTCTTTATAAAATATATTAATATTTACTGGTTAACTCAATTTTTTGTCAAGTTTTTGTTAGAAAACAATGGTATAAAACTCAAAGTTGAAGTATAATTATAGAAGTTTCTATCATTGTTAAGAAGAAGTAAACCTAAAAAGGAGTTTTTGATTATGTTGGTATTTAATAGTGAATTTAGTAATGGAATGTTTACTGTTGAGGTTGTTCTCAACATGTTCAACATCTCTAAAGATGATAAAAATATCACCCACATATTTTCTATAATATTTTGGCCTAAATTGTACTGGGCAGTCCTCAAGTTACTTTTTATTTCATGATAACAAATAAACAGTGAGGCTTATCTTAATTCATAGCAACCCAGTCTAACTGGCCATAAATTTCTTTATGAAACAGGAACTCAGATACCTAAGTACCATAACTCATGATCGCTTGAAACATATGTTTTGAAAATCTCATTTGATCATTATCATTATGGTATGATAATTCTGGGCACAGATTTATAGTCTCATGTATTGGTATATTCATAGATACAGACTATATTG